TTTTTGGTACAGGGTCTCACTACACAGCTTGGACTAGTAGTAATCCTGGTTTCAGCCTCCCCAGCGCTGGGATTACAGACAAGCAGCACCACACCGGCAGGCTCAGCGCCCCTGGGGGGCGGAGCTGGCGGGATCAAAGCCGGTCTCTCCTCTTGTTTAAGCATTGTTCCTTATTTCTGCTCAATCAACCCTCTTTCTACCTGTACAGCTACCTCCTGTGCTGGGCTCCGGACCCCCTTTCTACTCACAGATGGGAGCTGCCAGACTTGTGAGTCACTGAGAAAATCCAATGAGATCATTCACCTCAATTTGTTGAGCTTTTATCCCTAGACACCCTCTTCTGGGACATCTTATGTACGTGGCAAGCTACAATGTGGCTTGCGGGGGCAGAGGCTCTGACTTCTCTCACTGGACGAGTTTTTAGAGGCTTGCTGCCTTTCTTTCTTTGCTCCTGGGGAAGGAAAACAGAACCTTGACATAGAGCTCCACCATTGCGGGCCCTTTTCTATTCTGAGACAGGGTCTTGCTATGCAGTTCAGCCTGGACTTGAGCTCATTTTGTAACCCAGGCTGTTCTCAAACTCACAGTGATCCTCCTGCCTCAACCTCCCTAGTGCCGGGGTTACAGGTGTGGGCCATCAGGCCCAGTTTGAGGCAGGGTCTTGCTAAGTGGCTAAGTTGCCTTGGTTGGCCTGGAACTTGCCATCCTCCTGCCTCAGCCACCCCAGTAGGCGGAATGACAGGCATGTGCCAAACCTGTATTTCCCCCCTTTTTAGTTAACACCTAATACTTGCAACAGAAGGCCAGAGATAGGGCTGGTGAGATGACTCAGTGGTCTAAAGCACCTACTTAGAACAAGCTTAGCAAAGCACAGGGACCGTGGTTCAATCCCCCAGCACTACATGCCAGCCAGCCACGCCCCTAGGTGGGCTAAGCTGGCCACACACACACAGATAAATAAATAAATTAATTAAAAAAAAAAACAAACAAGGCAGATAGCTCAGTGGGATAGCTCAGTGGATTAAGCACCTGCTTAGGCAAGCACAGGGACCAGGGTTCAATCCCCAGCACCACAGGCTGCACCGGCCCCGCCCATGGATGTACTGAGCCAGCTACAGAGACTGGCATGGTGGTGCCTGCCTGTAACCCCAGGCTGCAAATAGGTGGATCACCATGAGACCAAGCTGCATAGTGAGACCCTGTACCAAATACATAAAAAAAAGCAAATAAATAAATAAACTAATAATTTATGGGCCAGGCTGTGATGTAATGCACACATACAATGTGTGCTGATCATATCAGTATTTCCAGCTCATCATTTCTTTGAAGTATTTGATCTCCTCTCCTCAAGTTCCTCATAAAATGTATAATAGGACACTGAGAACTACAGACAATCCACTGTGCTTTGTTTGTTTTTTTTAGATAGGATCTTGCTATGCAGTTCAGTTTGGCCTTGAATTTACCATGTAGCCAAGGCTGGCCTTAAACTCTTGGTGATTCTTCTCCCTCATCCTCCCCAGTGCTGAGATCACAGGCCTGCGCCACCATGCCCGGCTGTTTTTAATTTTTCTGGAAGTGCTGGGGATAAAACCCAGGGTTTATATAGGCTAAGTAAGCGTCCACTCATGAACCCTAGCCCCATGAGATTAAGATTTTTAGCTTTCTTTTTTTTTTTTTTTTTTTTTTTTTTTTTTTTTTTTTTTGCTCTAAATGCCCTAAGGGGTGGTTTGGCTGGCTGGTGTGTTGTGGGGATCGAACTACAGCAACCTGAGGCTGACAGCTTTGTGGAAGCAGCCACTTAAACAACTGAGCTAAGGCCAAGCCCCCGATTTTTAGCTTTCACACATGACTCAGAATATGCAGCGTCTTTCTGTCTGCTTTGCTTACACGATGTCATCCCTCCATTTCCACCTACACGTCGGGTCAAGAGAGAGGCTTCGGGAACTCCAAGCGAGAGTCAGCTGAAGACCACAACTCCCGGTGTGCCTCGCCTGTACTCGACGCCCAGAGACTACAACTCCCGGCGGACCCCGCGCGGCGGCTGGAGGACCACAAGTCCCGGCGTGCCCCACGCGGCGGTGGGTGGTGGTGGCGCCATCTTGCGCGGTGCGGATTGAATGAGCGCGCCGAGACGGGGCCGCCGTCGCGATCCGAGCAGGCCGCGAGCAACCGCCGCCATGGCCTCGCCGCTGCCCAGCCGCGCGGCCGGACCCGCCACCCCGCTGTCGCCCACCCGCCTGTCGCGGTTGCAGGAGAAGGAGGAGCTGCGGGAGCTCAACGACCGCTTGGCGCACTACATCGACCGCGTCCGCGCGCTCGAGCTCGAGAACGACCGGCTGCTGCTCAAGATCTCCGAGCGTGAGGAGGTGACCACGCGCGAGGTGTGTGGGGTCCGCGGGATCAGAGGGGACCCAGCGGGGAAGCGAAGCACACCGCGGTGCTAGGAGGGCTGGGAGACCTGGAGCAGGGGTACCGGCTGGGGGCTCCCTAGGGACCCCTGGGGATTCGGGGATCCCCGAGGAGCAGGTGCAGGCCATGCAAGCCCCGCCCACCGAGGGTTCTTGAGAGCTCCGAGGGGACCCCGACCCCAGGCATCCAGACTGGGCATGCCCCGCCCTCTAGGAGGTCCGAGGAGATTTCGAGGACCCCGAGTGTGGGGTGCAGACCTGACAGATCTCATTTTCTTGGGGTTCCCCAGGGTGTTTCAGGGACTCCTCATCGAAGAGTACAGACCAGGGGTTGTCCTGAGAACCTCCTGAGGTTTCCAAGAGACTCAGGAGCAGGGACGCAGACCTGGCAAGCCCCGCCCACTAAGGTGTCTAATATCTAGGGATACCCCAGACACAGGGGTCCACGGAGTGTTTCTGTGGACCCCAGCTGAGAGATGCAGGCCGTGGTTGTCCTTTGGGGTCCTTAGGATTTTCAGTGAGGAGGCAGACCAGGCGGGCGGTGCCTTCCCTAGTGTGAGGGATCTTGGGGCAATCTCAAGGAGGTGATGGCCCAGCTGTCCTGGGGATCTCTAGTGGCTCGGGGAACCCTAAAGACAGGTGTGTCGGACTGGGCAAACCCTACCTACTCAGTGATGAGAGATTTTGGTGGAATCTCTCAGCAAGAGGAACAGAGGGGCAGAGGCCTCCTTTGGGAGGTCTCCCAAAAGTGATTTTACAGTCCTTCTAGGGAAGAGTGCAGACAGAGCCATTCTACCCAGCAAGGGGTCCTCAGGAGTTGGGGTTCTATGAGGGCCAGGCTGCAGTCTTGAGGTCTCATGCCTTATCTTTCATATGATTTTGTGGAGGTTTGGAGGACTCCTGACTGAGGAGGTTTAATTCAGGGTAGACTTCACCCCTAACTGAGCATAAGGGCATCTTGGCTAGATACTCATGGGTACTCCATTCCAGGAAGGGATGGGGGTGTCTCTGATCTCTGAGGAAAAGGAGGGCAAGGGCTCACTTGGTCTTCTCATGGAATTCTGGGGAGAATCCAGGGGAGGTCCTTATAAGTGGGGTCAGGTCCCCCCACTCTGGGTCTGAGATGGATGGGGGGGTCTAGGGAGGGTTCTGTGGGGAATCTGGGTGGCCCAGAGTTGGGCACAGTGGCCTGGTCTCCCCTTCACCCACCTGAGGGTGCCAGCAGGCAGGCTTGAGGCAGTTGATGCAGCAAGAGTTGTTGGGGTTTGGGGCAGGCCGGGGCTTCCCTGTCTTCTGCAGGACGGGAGTAGGAGGTCTTGGCGGGGGCTGAGCAGTGTCGTATAGGGGATTCCTTCTCCACCCTGAGGTCTCCCATCTATGGCCTGATTCTGGAGGCCCGGTGAATTGAGGTTCAGGAGGGTCTTTTTCTGTTCGCCTCTTAACCCTGTGAGTGGCCTCAGGCAAGTCACCTAACCCCTTTGAGACAGGTGGCATAATGATGCACTGCTTCAGAGCAAGTACTTCCAGGAGTCATTTGTCACTGCTGTAGGTGCCAGGGGATGCTCAGAAACAGAAAACCCTATTGTGCTCCAGGGCTGTGGAGGGTCCTGTGAATCCTGGTTGAGTGAGGGCCCTGCTTTTATCTGTGTGATCTTGCACAGAGCCCTGGGCCTCCTGGAGCCTCCTCAGTATCGCCGTAGGCAAGTGGGGAGAGTTGGCAGCTGGTGGAGCATGCACAGCATCCCCGAGGTCGTGGCTGGGTCCAGTCTTGCAGGTTGTGTCAGGCTCTCAAGTCCTGAGGCACCGTGTCCTCTCAGGCCCTCTTTGTCCTGCAGACCCCTGGGGATGCAGGACCTGGAAACCTGTGAGAGTTGCCCATACTGACCCCTGCTGGACAAGCCACTGCGGGGAAGCCTCCTGGCCACCTACCTGTGAGCCGAGGAGCTCCTGTGTCGCAACTCCACAAAGCTGGTCAGAACACAGGACAATCAGTCTTCAGTGGGAGCCAGGGGAGTCCCATAGTGGGTGACCCTGGCCAGTCCCTGGTGATCAGTGTCTGCAGGGTATGTCCTGGGACCGCTCTGGGGACTAATATTGCCATTAGTGGATGGCTGTGGGGACCCCAGGTCGAGGGGCGGGGCTGCTGCTGGGTGGTCATGTAGCATCCAGGCGTGACCTGCATGGCCAGGAGGGCTACGGTTGGGGTTCACTGAGGTCCCTGGGGTGTCATGTGGAGCATTGTCCCCAGGGCATCCTTTGCCTCCTTTAGGGAGCAGTGGTTATCACAGCTGGAGGAGACAGCACTGCATGGAGCAGGTGGGGGGCCTCTTGCTTGCTTCCTGAAGCCATCTTGCCCCCATTCTTCTGTCCCCTGCCCTCACCTCTCACGGTGACAGCAGAACCAGGGCAGGTGTGGACACTGTGCCTGCATGGGGATGTTCTTTGGTATGTTGTACTGGTGGAGTGGACTATGGCGTGAATGTCCCAGTGGGGGATGTTGGAGAGAGGTCACTGTTGGGGGCACCTGCCCAGGCGTGTTACATTTCTGCAGGCATACAGGAGGGCTGGCCCGCCCGAGGAAGTGGTGAGCAGGGAAACCCCAGCCAAGCTGTACACTGTGTGCATCTGTGCCACCCAGGGGCAGGTCACCTCGGGTCATCTCCACCCCCACCCCCACCCCAGCATGTGCTTGCTCATCTGTTGGGATTTTTCAAGCGTGGCACTCATAGGAGGCCATGGGGTGACACTAGACAAGAGTCCCTGCCACAGCCCCTACAGCTGCTAGGCCACCTGTCCTGGCTGAGAGGGGCTCTGTGAGGTTGCATGCATTGCCGTGTGTGTGTGTGTGTGTGTGTGTGTGTGTGTGTGTGTGTGTGTGTGTAGGTGGTGCAAGTGTTGTGTGCACAGGGCCAGAGTCAGTGTTTCAGTCAGATGGCCTCGTCTCTGCCTCTGGATGGCACATACATAAATGGACCATGCTGTGTGCCAGGAGACTTCACTTACTACCCTGAGATGTGAGTTCACTATGATTTGCTGGTGTCACAAATCAATGTCCCCTTTCCTTCCTGCTCTGTGCCATTTGAAAACCTAAGAGCAATTCTCGCTTTGGGCTGAGTGGGAACAGGTGGGGCCAAATTGGCCTGTGGGCTGAACTTTGTAGATCTGTTACAATCCTTGTTACTAAAGCAGTAGTGGGGCTGCGGAGATGGCTCAGTAGAATAAGCGCTTGCCTGGCGAGCACAAGGGCCTGAGTTCAATCCCCGGTTCCGCCAAAAAAGAAAAAAAAACCAAACAACCACTAGCAGCTGTGGCACAGCTGTCATCCCAGCACGTGTAGGCTGAGGCGGAAGGCTCTCTTGAGTTCAGGGCCAGTGAGACCCTGTTAGGAAAAACAGAAAAGCAATGAGATCCATATTTGACTGAGGTCTCCTCAGTATTCTGCTAGTGTCCTTTTCTGTCCTTGGGTCCCATATTACATAGTTCTTGGGACTGGAGGGGCTCCTTGGGGTGTGACTATTTCTCAGACTCCTACTTCTGTTACCCTGCACAGTATTGAAAAGAAGCAGTCAGAATTTTTGTAGGATGCCCTTCAACTGAGATGTTGTCTGAGTTTTTCCTCATAATTACAGTAGAGATGAGATGAACAATTTTTTGTTTTTTGAGAAGGGGTTTGGCTATGTAGTTGAGGCTGGCCTTGAACTCACCATGTGTCCCAGCCTGGCCTTGAATATGCAGTGTTCTTCCTGCCTCAGCCTCCTAAGTGCTGGGATTACAGGTGTGCACCAACAATCCAGTGACATGAACATGCCCCCCCCAACAGGGGATTGAACTCAGGCCCTTGCGCTTGCCAGGGAAGAGCTTATTTTACTGAGCTATCTCCTTGGACCCCTGAACAGTATCTTTTTTTTTTTAAATTAGAGTGAATGTTTTTTTTTAAATGTGTGTGTGTGTGTGTGTGTGTGTGTGTCCAGCTCAGCCCACCAGGGGGTGGGGCTGGCTGGCATGGGGAGGGGATTGAACCATGGTCCCTGTGCTTTGCTTTGCTTAGCTTAGCTTGTTCTAAGTAGGTGCTTTAGACCACTGAGCCATCTCACCAGCCCCGGAATTATTTCTTGATAATAGCCATTTTTTTCAGGGGTGAGATGGAATCTCAGTGTTATTATTACTTATTTATTTTTGTATTTAGGACAGGGTGTACAGGGTCTCACTATGTAAATCAGATTCATAGTGATCCTCCTGTTTACAGCCTCCCAAGAGCTGGGATTATAGGCGTACACCACCACGCCCAGTCTCAGTCTCTGTCTCAGTGTGCCCCGGGGGCTGGCCCCTGACCCCTGTGTCGGGCTAAGCAGATGCTTTAATCCACTGAGCTATTTGGTCGGCCCACCTCAGTGTTATTTTGTCTTTTTTTTTTTTTTTGGAGGGAAAGAGGGTCTCACTGTGTGTGCAGTTCAGGCTGGCCTTGAGCTCGCTTTGTAGCCCAGGTTGTCTCGAATTCCCAACAATTTTTCTGCCTCAGCCTCCCAAGTGCTAGAATTACAGGTATGTGGCCCTATGCCTGGCTTCAGTGTTATTTTTAATTTGCATCTCTGAATAACCAGTGATGTTGAACATTTTTTCATGTATTTATTTGCTATTTGTATTTCTTCATCTGAGAAGTGTATATTCATCTCAGATACCCATTTGAGGACTAGGTCTTTAAATTTGAGAGGCCTGATATATTTTTTCTTTAAATTTATTTTTATTTATTACATTTATTTATTGTGTGTGTGTGTGTGTGTGTGTGTGTGTGTGTGGCCAGCTCAGTCCACCAGGGGGCGGGGCTGGCTGGCATGTGGTGCTGGAGGATCGAACCGAGGTCCCTGTGCTTTGCCAAGCTTGTTTCAAGTAGGTGCTTTAGACCACTGAGCCATCTCTCCAGCCCCAAGGCCTGATATTTTTGAGTTCTTGTTTGTTTGTTTGTTTGTTTTGGA